ATTGTGGGTAAAAACAGCAGTTTCTGCTTGGCCTTCTGTATCTAAGATCCTTTGCCTTAGTTTCTTATACAGTAAAACAGAGATCAGTCCACTGGGCAGTGGCTTGGACTCTCCATGACCACATCATCTTAAACCTTCTTGTCTCCTTCCCAATCACGAGATCCCGAATCCATTGTGGCATCCATGCTTAGGGTATTCCATTATAGCCACTTTTTCTGGACCACCACTGTCAGCTGACTTCCTGGATGAAACCTGGTTGCTGTTGCTGCTCTATGGGCAACTCCTGCGTAAATCCAACATGCTAACAGACCAGCAGTCAATCACCACCAGCCACTTTACCAGCTAAATCCTGTCCATGATCCTGTCTTGACTTTTTGACATGGCTTCTTCTTAGGCCCTGGAACACTCACCAACTTTGGAGGTGTCACTAGGTTTCTCTCTACCCCTTCCAGTGCCATGTCCTTCAAGCCTGCCAGTATTCAATAGCCCTTCCATTCCTGCACACATATGTCCCAGGTGGGTTTTATGTGCTATAGGAATGGAACAATGGAGGCAGGTGTAGGCAGTGCAATAGATCCTGTTCACCTAGATGTTCGGTCAGAGTATAGCAGGTTAAAATAGCTGAAATCTCCTGAAATCACCCTCATGAAATTCCCACATTCACTCATATGAGAGTAAATGATTTGGAGGGGTAGATCACTAGGCTGAAGGACATGTCTAATGCAGAATTCTAAATATTAATCTTGGTATTGATTCATATGAGCACTCTTTGCCTGAAAATATGGATGACCTCCTCCAAAGGATCATTGGCTTATGTGTCATTCCTTAATATATGCAAACATTTTCTCTTCTCCATTAAGCCACTCTTTTCATTTTACGTGGAAAATGGGAGCCCTCTTCCACATGGATTTCAACAATTAAGGCTCTTTCGTATTACCAGTCTCCCTCATACTGCTTTAATTGGCATGTGTTCATTTAAAAAAGAGTTTAACCATCAGCCATTTATTATCTCACTGCAAACAAAATAATTATTTCCTACAGGAATCACCCTATTTTCTTAGCTAGGCCAAAACATCAAAGGCTGCGCAGAAGTCCATTTAAATTCAACAACAATCAAGAGACAAGTACTGGTTTGGTTATAAAGCAACTCTCGAACCGGAGGGAGATTGGCACAAGGGGCAATAATGGCTCTGTCAGATTCATTTCCACAAGTTCCCTCCCTCCTGCCTCATCTGCCAGAACATCTATTTGAAAGATAGACCCACATCTTCTCTCCATAAACAGAGAGTCACAATGTTGCTCCTCCTGGTGTTCCTGGTGAACAAAAGAGCTACTCTGAGCTGTCCTGCAAGTGATGCCTTCCCTGTCCCACATGAGTGGTACCAGCCTGGTGACCTCATCATTGGAGGGATGATGTCTCACATTTTTTACAACTACAATGAAGTTCAATTTAAAGAGCATCTTTCTCTAAAACCTTATGACTTACCACTGTAAGATTTTTTTTTCCTTCCCATGCATTTTCTAATCTTAGTCAGATCCCCAAACTTTGCTCATATGAGTAAAAGCTATTGAAGCCTAAATCCAGAGTTTTTGTCTATAATGTAAGCCTTCTTTGTGTTTTGAATATATTTGGTTGTGGGATAAGAAATCATTTTCTTTACATTATGTTAAAGTCTTTTTCATGAAATATATGAAAACTTCAGTGCAATGAGTCTTTTGAAGAACATTTAGTGAGCTTAAGGTAACTAAAAGTAGTTCTGCATTATCACTCCTCACCAAACATCCATACAGTAAATGAGTGATACTTGCTGAATTTGCTCATATTCTATTTTGTACTAAATTGATAGAAAATAAATGTGAGAGAAAAAGCAACTGCTTTTATTTGGTGTAGTACATATTTTGGCAAATCATGGAGATACTGTGTAAAAAGGATATTTGAACGCTATAAAAATTATTTAGTATTTTAGAAAAGCTATCATCTTCCTACTTCTATCAGGGACAGAAATATTTCTTATTCATATAGAAATGATGCCACATTACAAGAAGTGTGAAATAACTTTTTCAATGGATATATTTAACCTATTGGCAGTGTAATAACCAAATTCTATCAGCACATCCTTGCCTTGGCCTTTGCTGTGGAGGAGATCAATGAGGACTCCCAGATCCTACCTAACATCACTCTCGGGTTCCACATCCATTACAGTTACTACAGCCCAAGGATGA